GAGAGAGAGAGAGAGAGAGAGAGAGAGAGAGAGAGAGAGAGGCCACAGTCATTTATATCTCTGGTCAGGGAACTCATGTATGAGCGAATTTCATGAATGTCTACGCAAAGCCTAGTAATGTATAAACATCTAAAGATTCTGAGGTTAAAGTTGGATAATCAAGAAGAGATCCATCAGATTCCCAGCCACATGCTGCAGAACAAACAGAGCCAGGGTCTCCGTACACGCAGTCCGAGTGACAAGGGGCAAGGAGACCCCTCCTCCAAGTGTGTTTTTGATATAGAAACACCAGAGTAAAAGGGCTAATATATAATTTGGTCAGCATTGTCAGCCAGCCTGAAGTACTGCAGAGACTGCTGTTGTTATATATAAATAGTCATATGTCAACAGCTCCCAAGAGTGCTAGAGAAGACAGAACACAGAGCCACAACCCGCCGGGGAGACACAATGTCTCCCCAGCTCATGAGTATACATGAGGGAAGGCAATGGTGTAACTCCCATGGATCTTTCTACCCATCTATTTAATGGGTTCAGTAGTAATGTTCTTCTCATGGGCTGCCTGCGAGCATTCCACAGGATGAGGCAACTTCCAGTGGTGTGGCCAGGTCTGTAGCAGTGTGGGTGTGTGCTGGACAATCGGACACACATGAATAGAAAATTAACAGAAGGCAACAGTTAGCTGGACACATGGGATTATTATAGGGATACCTAGAGACTACAAGCAAGGATGCCATTCCACCAACTCTCCTTGCAACAGCACCACCGATCACAGTAGAAACAGCAGACCAAAGTCACCTGCTCCTTGGGGATACAGTCCCCTCATAAGACCCTGCCACCATAGCAAGATTCCCCAAGACCACCAATTGTCCCTGAGTTGACAGTGTATGAGGGATGAAGGCAGCCTGAGGGAGAGCTTGCGTGCAGTGTGTCAGCAGCGACGTTGTTTGCCTGTCTAGTCTCTGGCAGAAGGGCTGGGAAAGGGGACATTTATGAGATCTGGCATCTCTGCCCTTCCTGGATGCAGGATGTTTTAATTCTGAAGCTGCAAATGAGGAGTAAGAAGCAAAGGGGGAACAGCAGCCATTCCCTAGGGGGTTTTCTTTACTGAGATGAGTGGCACTGGGGTCCCATCCCACCACAGCCCTGAAGAAATGAGAACTTGGAAAGGGAAGGAGAAGGCAAAGGGCTAACCTCCTTGGATAAGCATAAAGCAAGCTAAACAGAGGCATCAGCTAAACACATCCAGAAAGCCCTCAGCTATCCTATAGTGGGTCTGCAACAGTGTTGCTTAACCTCCACAGGCTCCGTTTCTGCTTCTGTAAAATGGGGTTAACAAGAGAATCTCCATCGCAGGGCTGCTGAGAGAATGGAACCAGATCATAGAAGTGGGGATACGTGACACCAAACTCAGTGCCACTTGGCTATTGGTGTGTTCGTGCTATTTATGTGTTTTGCATTAAAAAATAGATCACAGAATAAATATAGCAGGAATATTTGTTGTTTTAATTGGATGTAAATGAACAGTAGGAAAGTGTTGGGTGTGTGGCCCCAAATGTGAGCGAGGATGAGCTCCAGTTGGTATGATCACTGCGATTTATTACTTACATTGATAGGTCTTTGGATTTGATGTCTTTTAATATTATAGACTATAGAATACAATAAAGAAAAATTCTAAGTATTTGCAATAGGAACAAAGGAAAAGAGGGGGGAATGGCAAGAAATGTGCATTCCCTGTGACCATTCAAAACAGGGAGGATGCTAAGAGTGCACAGGAGGATACAAGCAGCCACTCACAAATGCTGACATGGAAGATGTTTCTGGAAGGATGTAAAGGGAAGACTGGGATGCAAATAATTTATACTTCGTTATTTTCAGCTCTGTAAGATAATGTACAGACAAGAGATTTTAAGAAAAGCTAGCCAAAATATGAACATCGAACAGAATGCTGTGGTTATGTCTGAGCAATATTTTCTTAATATGGTTTTCTTCTTCCCAAATTGCCTATAAGGGGCCTAAATTGCTTCTACAACCAGAAAACATGCACAACTGATAATATTAACAAGAAGGGCAAGAAATAAAAATCTGTTCTTACTTGCTTGATAGAAACCAGCAGAAGCAGGGTGAGGAAGGGCTTCCTAGGACCCCAGAGCAGACGCATCCCATGGGAGTGGAGAGGATTGGTCCTCTGGGCTGCAGGGATGCCCACCGTCTGTGCCCGCACCCGGGGCAAGCGCCCCTCTCTGCCTCCACTGGGCACTGCCGGGCTTGGTTGGGGCCTCATCCTCCGGGCGCCTTTTCACGATTGCAAGCACATCCCTCCAGCACTCCAAGATGTACCGCTGGCAGTGGCCTCCTGCATTCCTTGTTGTCCAGAGTGGAAGTGTTTGCACAAGTCCTCTGTGGGCCGCTGAGTGTCTGAGCCGCTCTACAGAGATCTACCGAATCTCCAAGTTTCTCATCCCCCGCCTGCCCCTCCTAAAATCTAGGGAGATTTTTCCCAGACCTACCCCAAGACGGCTATGCTGCCTGGGACTTCCTTAGCAAGCCCAGAAGAAAAAGCAAGGCATGGTTTCCATCCCGAGGATTCTGCTCCATGTCCACAGCCAGAGGATGGGCCAGGATGCCAGTATTTCTTTCTAAGGCATCAAACTTTCTCCAAACTGAACTGGGGCCAGCCACAAAGGCAGGGCCACCTTTGAGTTCTGATTATGGCAAGCTAGCAAGAGCAGTTTGCCTGTCTCAGAGACAACACCTCCAGACCCAAGGTCTGCAGCAAAAGCCCATTCAGTGACAAGAGTCTACACAAGAGCAAAACAATGGGTATAAGCGCAGAGGTTGGCACCTCCCAATTGCCCACGTGTTCTAAGGCCGTTGTGTTCTGAACACAATGATGCTCTGGCCACCTGGACGCTTTTATGGGAGTCATGACCCACCACTTACTAACCAACAGCCTACCTTCCCATCAGTTTACCATTACAAAATCGTCCATCCCTGCCCCAACAGCACAATCTGGAAAGTAGAGAGAGAAAATGCCCATCAGAAACAAATGCTGGAGGTACTATTTCATGGTATTTTCTAGATAAATGTTGGTGTGTGTGTGTGTGTGTGTGTGTGTGTGTGTGTGTGTGTGTAAGGCTGCATAGCAAGTTAAAGACAGAGCCAGGCTTTCTAGTCACCCGATCACAGCTACCTGGTCAGGAGCTATTCTTTATGTCTCTGGCCTCAGAGAAAACTCTTATTCACTAGCAGGTTCTTCTCCTTCTCTAAGGCCCTGCTTGGGCCCCCTCACCCCATCTCTGTCTGGATGGTTCCCAGCAATCTCCCCAACTTTTCCAATTGGAGGCCCAAGCATAAGGTGATAGACAAAATGTCAGAATGGCAAGAGTCAAGAGAACAGGTTTCTGTCCTTCCCTCCCTCCCTCACTTCTTCCCTCCTCCACCCCTTTCTTTTTTTCACAGTCACATCAAACCATAGCTCATTTCCATTAACTGATCAATGCCAGTGAATTCTGAACATTCAGGGGAAAATGGGTGAACACCACTAGATAAAAGTCCCTAGAAATCTTAAAACCCTCCTGTGGCAAGCATTCAAACCTTAATAGTAGAAAGATCAGTCTGGAAAGGGCTCCCAGATGGGTTTTTGTGCGAGTGTGATTTCAGGAGTCAATGTGGTCATCTCTTTGGGACCACAGAGAATGGGATGAAGAGGCAGGGAGGGAGGAAAGCCCGTGTGTGTGTGTGTGTGTGTGTGTGTGTGTGTGTAAGAGAGAGAGAGAAAAAGATGTGGCTGTAAAGCTATTCTACACATATAAAAGTGGAGATTCTGGGTTGCATGGTGGGGGTGAAAACGCCTGCTTTGTACAAATATTCCATCTCACTTCTTTGAATATTTCTCAAAAGCATTTTTCCTGATTTTTTTTTCCCCTGAAAGGACATGCCTTGGTCTGCATGTGTACAACTTCCCTACCTACTACCTGCTGGAATGGATGCCATCTAGTGACAAAATGTGGTAAACCTGTCTGTGAAAGCAGTGTGCGGTTTCCAGGCTCCCAAGAGCACAGAGCACAGCAGGGAAGAACAGATGGAGGGAAACAAACACAAATGTCACTGCCCGTTTACATCTGGACATCTCCAGGGCTGCTCCACATTTAATGAGGAGCCCGCAGTCTTCCGAAGCTACACAGACTCTTCCGTCTCTCCATTCCTTCCTGGCTTCAGGCTTATTGAATTTCTTATGTAAATTTTCACTTTTCCTGGAGTTTCTAATTGCCTTTTCTTTCCCCATCCTGAAAACATTTGGTTTAGTCTTTGTTTTATTCCTCAGACCTAAGTAAAAGACATGCTTCTTGGAAGGCTCCACACTCCTTCCCAACCCTCCTCTAGGGCCACCAAGGAGCAGAGCCTAGCCTTACCCTCCCACAGATTTAAGGACCATCAGCATCACAGCTCCTGCAGTGAGCCCTTCAGTGAGGATGTGAGTCATGGTCCAAGGGCTTTTGAGTCCCCTGCATGGTGAGAATTTCTGCAGCCAGTTGAGCACATGTCCTTCCCCACTCTCACGATTCGCAGACTTTGAGGCAAGCGGCCTGTTTCTTGCTTCTCTGAGTCCCTGAGCTAAACACCAGCCCTCTGCAGTCTCTCTTTCCTATTGTAGGGCAAGGAATAGGCCCAGAAGTTCCCCCAAGTTTTCATATTTCTTGTATGTTCACTCTTCTATGCAGAGCTTAACGTCTAATGCTTACATATGCAAAAGAAGTTTGTGAGAGTGGGTGTGGACTATGAAACTAGATGGGAGGCCTCCAGAGGGGAACAAGAGAAGTTGGCAAAGTGGAGGAAAAGCACGTCAAGAGATAGACAGAGAAACTAGTTGTGTGAAACAATAAACACAAGGGAATATCATTCTGCCTTGCAAAGAGTTACGAGTTTTTGACATATACTAAAACATGATGAGGTTTGAGGATGTTGCACTATGTGAAACAAGCCAGACACATAAGGACAAATAAATACACTTCTGTGTGGCTTTTTATAGACTCCCAAAACAGTAAGTACAACTGGAGGCTACCAGGGGCTGGGAAGAGAGAGAACAAAAAGTTGTTTAATGGTGACAGAGCTTCGATTTTGGATTTTGTAAGCTAAGGGGAGTTCTGGAGATGGAGGTGAAGGTTACACAGCAATGTAACCATGCTTACTGCCACGGAACTCGGTTCACTTAATAATTAAGGTAGTAGATTTTTATTGTGCATATTTTACTACCAATTTAGAAAATGGACCGATATCCCCTGCACATACTCATCCAAGGAAGAACAGAAAGGTCCACTCTGAACTTCTTCACGGGAGGGTATCTCGGGCCACAGTACTTACACAAATGCTATATGCTGGAATATTCTCAGGGGACCATGAGCAAGCTGTGTCAGGATGCCAGATGGCAGGGCTGGATGGAGACTGTGATGCAGCAGAGAGGAGGGGGTCCTCACTCATGCTGGCACTAGGAGCTTCATTCTGACATGGACAGGGCAAGGTGGCAGCGGGTACTGACCCTTGTCCCCATCTGCCTGGCCCTTGCCTTCTCCCTCACAGCCATGGGCAGCAGCCACTGGTGTGAGGGGATCCGACGGATGACAAAACCCCTGTGCCAGGACCTCCTGGGGGGATTGAACTGCATTCACTTCAGCCGGACCAACAGCAGCACTGGAAGAAGACACGATGATAGCCAGGCTGTCCAATACATATGGGAGACAGGGGACGACAAGTTCATCCTGCGCAGGTTTCATGCAGGGCTCTGGCATTCCTGTGAGGAAAACCTCAACAGCACAGGTGAGTGCAGTCTATGTGTCCCCAGGTCAATGGGTGCAGGATGGCCCTGAGAAGGGGCTCCAGAGTCAGATTGCCTGGGACTGAATCTTGGGTCTGACATGTGACCTTAAGCAAGTCCATTACCTCTGAGCCTCAATCTTCTCATCTATAAAATGAGAACCATGGAGATGCTTAACTCCTAGAGAAACCTCACAGATGAAGTGAGTAGATTCATAGAAAGTGTCTGCAACAGTTCCTGACACACTATTTATTAAGCACAAGTGTTCACCCTCTTGCCACTGTCTGTCAGTTTCTCAAGAATCAAAGGCGGCCCCCACCCACCTCTAAGCTGAATCCCTAAGATTTCTTTTTCTGTTTGTTTGTTTTTGTTTTTTTCGAGACAGGGTTTCTCTGTATTGCTTTGGATCCTGGCCTGGAACTCTATCTGTAGACCAGGCTGGCCTCGAACTCACAGAGATCTGCCTGCCTCTGCCTCCCGAGTACTGGGATTAAAGGCATTCACCACCACCTCCTGGCATCCTAAGGTTTCTTTCTCGTTTTAAAAATTATTGCTGTTACTGGATATGGGGTCTAACATTATAGCTTTGGCTGGCCTGGAATGTAGACCAGGCTGGCCTCAAACTCACAGAAATAAATCTGCACCCCTCTCTCTGCCCCTGTATCTGTCTCTGTTTCTCTGTCTGTGTGTCTGTGTGTCTGTGTGTCTGTGTGTATGTGCATGTGGTACCCTCTCTAGAGTTACAGGTAGTTATGAGACACCTGACTTATTTGGAAACCAAGCCCAAGTTCTCTGCAAGAGCTGCAACACTGATCATGGCTCCAGCCCCTCCAATGCTGAGCCATCACTCTTGGAACAAGGGTTCTCATTAGAAAAACAAAAAACAAGGGCTGGAGAGATGGCTTAGCCTTTACAGGCTAGGCTCACAACCAAAAAAAAAAAAAAATACTTTTAAAAACATACAAAACAATACAAAAGCCAGCCCTTAGCATCATTATGTCACCTAGCAGATATATCACAATCACAATCCATAACAAGTTGGACCTTTATCTCAGGTAGCCCTTGAAACAGCCTTGCGATGTAGATCATCCCTTTGCTCAGAAGCAGGAGACTGGACCTCAGAGAATCTGCACTGCCAGCCAGCCTCTTCTCATGTCAGTCAGCCCCACCACATTAACACCTTGAAAGTGGAGATGTATCAAGCAAATGCTGAGAGAAGAAAGAGAAGATGGGGGGAGGGTTAGTATATCGAGCATAGTTTCCAGAAAACGTTTTCCCTCACAAAGAACAGAAGAGGGATGAATGTCAACCCTGGATGTTAGACTAGTTAGCTGCAGCCCATGCTCAAGGCTAGATGTGCTCCTCTGCTTTCAAAGCAAAGGCCCCTAAATGAAAAGGGGGGCATCCACAGAAGTCCCCACTTATTTTCTGACCTCAGACTTAGTACATTTCTTGTATAGATGTTTATT